TCTGAGATACATCTCAAAACATTGCTAAAATGAGTCAAAACAATAAAAAAAATCAAGTATTACAATGAAGAGACAGGGATTAATGTGATAAAAGCGAGCGCATCTAATGAATTCTGGCTGAGGATAATCTGACTGCAGAGAATCCCTTTGCTAATGCTAATTACAGCGGAAGGGCCAAGAAACTCTATCCCACCTACCTGCTTTTGTTTGCCTGAGAAAGCGGACTCTAAAGATGCTAAAGATGAGCAGACTCCAAGCTGCAAAACAGATCCCTCTGGGCAGCTCTGACCCTAGGTGTGAGGGGTGAAGTGTCTTTTCCAGGGACTGTAAGGTGCTGACGGCCTAGTTAGGTGAGTCATGCATTGAAAGTGACATATAAATTAGCAGGATCATGACACCCTCTCTTTAATGGCCTGTGAATATGAGCCCAAGTTAATTTTCTTTTGAAAACAGTCACTTTCTTCTTTCTCAAGGTGTTAATGTCTTTCATTCAAGAATTTTATTTTCAGTTTTGAGTGACATCTTTGAGATGCTGAAAAATCACTCATCTGTCCATCATAGTCCTTATTTATTTATTTATTTTTTGCGGTACCAGGGATTGAACTCAGAGCCTTGCGCTTGCCAGGCAGGCGCTTATTCTACTGAGCTATCTCCTCAGCCCATGGTCCATATTTATAAAACAGACTAGGGCCAGGAGTTCGATTCCCAGTAGCAAAAAAAAAATTAATTAGTAAAATAAACATGGCTGGTGGGCTAGCTCAGCTGTCTAAGCGCCTGCTTGGCAGTGGGAAGGACCTGAGTTTGATTCCCCAGTACTGCCTGCTGTGTTGGCTGGCCCAAAACCGGACATGGTGGTGCATTCCTGCAATCCCAGCCTTAGGGAGGCTGAGGCAGAAGGATCACTACGAGTCTGAGCCATGTAGTAAGACCCTGAACCAAATGAAAAATAAATAAATACATAAAATGGGTTTTTTTTTGTGTGTGTGGCTGGCTCAGCCTGCCCTGGGGGTGTGGTTGGCATGACGTGGTGCTGGGGATCAAACTGTGGTCCCTGTGCTTGCCAAAACTTACCTAAGCAGGTGCTTTAGACCACTGAGCTATCTCGCTGGCCCCAAATAAATAAAAATGTTAAAAAAAAATAAAAATAAAATAAACAGAACAGACTACTTCCTTGAAGATATTATTACCTACTTCCCTGAGGGTATATTCATTCAATTTTTAAAGTAATTCTAAAGAAAATAGTAATTGGCATTGGCATAATCAACTTGTAAGAACTCACCAATTCTTAAAAAAAATTTTTTTCTTTGCAGTACTGGGGATTGAACTCAGACCCTGCGCTTGCTAGGAAAATGCTTATTCTACTGAGCTATCTCCCCAGCCCCTGAATTCACCAATTTTTTTTTTTTATTACATTTATTTATTGTGTGTGTGTGTGTGTGTGTGTGTGTGTGTGTGTGTGTGTGTGTGGCCAGCTCAGCCCACCAGGGAGCGGGGCTGGCTGGCATGTGGTGCTGGAGGATCGAACTGAGGTCCATGTGCTTTGCCAAGCTTGTTTCAAATAGGTGCTTTAGACCACTGAGCCATCTCTCCAGCCCCAGAATTCACCAATTTTTAAAAATCTTTTTTTGTTTTTGAGACAGGATCTTGTTCTATAATTCAAGCTGGCCTTGAACACACTATGGAGCCTGTCTCGATGTGAACGCAAGGCAATCCTGCCTTAGCCTCCCGAGTGCTGGCACCACAGGGGTGTGCCACCATATCTGGTTTCATTAACTTTTTTTAAATGAAAGTGTCTCCACTGCGAAGACAACAATATGCAATGTATTAATTATTGAAACTGTCCTACTAATTGGGTTTGAAACTGTCTCATTGCTGTTTGTTTCTCAATAAAATTATTATTTAAAAAAAGTAGAGGGGCTGGGAAGATGGCTCAGTGGAATAAGTGCTTCCCTGGCAAGTGCAAGGGCCTGAATTCAATCCCCGGTTCCGCCAAAAAAAAAAGAAAAAAAAAAAAGTCAGGATAGACACACAGCTACTTTCTCTTAATTCGATGAGAAGAAACATTTGTACTAACAGTGTTTGGACAGGCTATCATGTCTGCATCTTGTACTATGAATAAGCACTATGAAGACAACAATATGCAATGTATTAATTATTGAAACTATCCTACTAATCGGTTTTGAAACTGTCTCATTGCTATTTGTTTCTCAATAAAATTTTTTTAAAAAGTGTCTGTCACATTAATGATTATCAAATCTTTCCTAATACTTTCTGGATTCATTTAAATAACTACTGGCCTGAAGTACAAATACTTCAAATAATATATGAGCTAAAGCTTCTTTTTTATTTTTCTCATAGTATCAGAGATTGAACTCAGGACCCTGCACTTGCCAGGCAGGTGCTTATGCTGCTGAGCTATCTTCCTGGACCTAATATTTCTTATAAAAGCCAATTAGGGGACTGGTGAGATGGCTCAGTGGTCTGAAGCACCTACTTGGAACAAGCTTGGCAAAGCACAGGGACCGCGGTTCAATACCCCAGCACCACATGCCAGCCAGCCCCGCCCCCTGGTGGGCTGAGCTGCCCCCCATAAATAAATAAATAAATAAA